GCACAAAGATGGCGGACGCCCATATTTGGATAGGTCGAAATAGGTCAGTGACGTCACGTGAAAGCCAAGAATTAAAGTAATAATAATAGAACACATGGAAGTGGTATTTATTTTCTTATATTACCATCACCATCATCATCTTCATCTTCATCTTCACTTGTTTCTGGAGGCTCGAATTCCAAAACAAATCCTCCGTCTAAATCATAACTGGGCATTTCTGTAAAGATAAAACTGAATATCATTTTTGCAACTTAATTACTTAGGTTTTAGATATTCTGCAAACTCAGACATTCCAATGGCTTGTTGTGAAATGGGTTTTTGGTTGCCGTCAAACAAAAACATAAAAGGCACTGACTAATTAGTTTTGATTGATGGCAGCGAAAAATAGTACTAATTTCATGGCAAGCTGTTAGAAAATCTGAGTTCGCAGAATATGGAAATCTGCTGTGATATGTAGCTACCATCTTCTGAATCAGAAATGATTGTGGTGGAGGGTGTTTCACATCCCTCTCTCTTTGCATAACTTGATATATTGCTATCAGAGTCACTCTCTGAATTCGCAGCAACTTCCCTTTCTCCTATGAAACCAATAGTTCCATGTGGAAGAGGTGGGAGGTCATCATTTGAACTGCTTGCATCTGAAAAAAAAAAGTTAATTTTAGTTTTATTATCATTTTATTAATATATTTAACTTTTCGGCGAAATTTGCTTTAGCATTTCAACTTTACCTGTAATTTCGACTCTTTGTCTTTTGTTAGGGGGTTCTGTGAAAAGTATCAAAGTAAAATGTTGTGTGAAATATTCATCTTTACCATTACTAAAGTACATTCTTTATATAAATTTAAAACAGGAACACTGTTTGGGCTGCCTGTACCAGGAGCCGTTCAGTTGGTGATTTCGGCTTAAAGGCCCGTAACCATAGAAAGTTTAGTATATTTGTGTCTGAATGAGTGAAGCAAGGTAATCTGGTACGCTATGTTTAGTGTTGTCGGAAAAAAAAAATGCCGTGAAACCATATGCTATAAAAGACTTTAAAGGAGCTGAAGTCTGACTGAGCTGACTAGTAGTGAAATATCAACTTCAGGCACCAAGAACAAAAAACCTTTTTTTTACTTACCTATGTTTTCATTTAACGAATGCGAATTGTCATCGACCTTTAAAAAAAATGTTTTAATTAGGAAGCCTAGGTGTAAACATAAATCGAGCAAAGTTATTGTTCAGCAACATGATACAAGTAAGTTTTTTAAAATTACTTACCGGTGCACTACAAGCTTCCTCTTTATTAACTTCCATTACTAAACTTTAAGCCAACCTCTAAATCGCAATATCCAAGACTGAGACTTCAGAAATACTTCAGTTCAAATAATTAAGATTAGACGCGAACAATAGGTGTTTAGCGGAATCAAGAAAAATAAGTGACTTGTCAGGCTTAATTATATGCTAATCCTTTGCTAATCCCTGCTATTGTTCTTCAACTTTAGTACCGAACAATAGGGCATTTCTTGAGACGTTATTGAAATAACAATATTTGTTTTATGATCATCCGGGTGGATGCAGTCCTGAGAAGGACTGTTTGATCATGATGGGACTGAAATTTCAACAACCTGCACAAATGTATTCTTCAGAGTCAAGGGAAGAATAAAGTTTATTGAAGGTGCATGCATGTGATTGTGTAAATATTGGTATTATGTTTATTATGTACAGAAAATACTGGCATTGGCAAGCACCAGATGTGAGCTGGAATAAACCTTTCAAAGCTTTGGTAGCTGAGCATTACGATGAATGGATGGCTAGTGGTGTCCTGGAATTTACAGAGGCAGGGAACATGCGTCCACCATCAAGAAAGACTATTGTTGAATGGGTACTGAACGCTGGGTCAAAACTTTCTAAAGAAGTGAAAACGAAGTCATTTAAGGCCTGTGCTCTCAATATCGCAGTAGATGGTTCTGAAGATAATGTTATTCATTGCTTCAAGATATAGCATTCATTTTTAATTTCTTTATAAATGCCTTCAATATTGTTTAGTAGTTAAAATTCGTTATTTAAATGCTATCTACTTCAAAAAATTCAAACTGCATTCTCTTACCGTGAATGACAAAGGTGTATGGTCTTTTGAATCTGACGTCATAAAGTATAAATGATAAAAATGCAATTTTAAAGTTCCATAATATTAGTTTTGTATACTCTATGTATATTTACACTTACCTTGGTTTTTTTCGACAACTGATCCACAAGTTCACGCTTATCTGGAGGAGTTATCAAACTACCTCCAGGGTCATCTACAGTTAATTGACCAGGTAATAGAGTTGAAATGAATCACATCTCTTAAACATATTCTAGCTAGTTAATAATTTTTTTAAATTGTGTTGTGTTTTCAGGCGGATCCAGGAATTGATCCTTACAGAAGATGGTAAGGAATACTTTTATTGTTAAGAACTATTTTAAAAAACTGTGTTTGAACTGATATATATTTTAAGTATTTATGATCGCTATTTTTATTTTAGGGACTACATGCTTGCGAGAAATATGGAATTTATCCGYAATCAGTTTCCAGAAAACGATGAAAATGGTAAGTCATGAATAAACTTGATAGAGTGTTTTTTGTTTTGACCACCGAAACTACGCGTTTAACGCTTTGAATGAAGTTAACAATTCGGACGTATTTCAAGGCGTTTTCACAACATTCCAAGGCATGTGYATTGCTAAAGCTTTGTGTTTCAGTGTAATTTCCGATTGACAATAAATGGTTGATTGACATCAACCAAACTAAAAACCTTTTTTTTCCGTCTGCGACGGCAAACTGGATTTCCTGCGATTGGAAAGCGCTCTAAATTCAGTTTTATAAAYGTGCATTTAATCCGATGTAAACTGCGTAGTCCGAAGATTAGGTTAATATAATCTCACACTGATCTACTTTAATTTCAGCTTCTACGAATAAATCTGTAGACAGGACAAGTAGTACGAATATGGGACCACCAACAGCGCCAGCTCCACGGCGCAAAAATAGGAAATTATAGCTTCACTTTGTAAATATCTTTAAAATAAGAATTAAAAGGTTCCAGCAAACAATTTATGATTGCAACTAGTTTTTAATAGTCGATAAGGAGCCAATTTATCGCATCCTCCTTAGTAAGTCAACATATGCATTAGGATGGACCAAGCTACCATTTATACTAACACGGTTTGAAGGATCAAACATTCTGTTTTAAAAACCATTTTAGTTTCCCGAGCCAAGTTAATGTGTTTGTTTGTTTGGGTGAAGGAGAAAACTTGAACTGACGTGAAACATTCAAGATTGAACGTGATCCCCTAGATAAGAAAAATTATAATTTCAGTTTTTATTCATCTGACGGCCGTTCGCGCATGTTTTTTGTGAAGCTGTAAAGCATTCAAAAGCTTTTAAAGTGCTACTACGACGAAAATCGCTCAAACTTGGATTCAGCTGAAACTTCCTAAGAATACTCTTTAAAGGTCCAATAATCACTGTATGAAGTGTTTTCTCGATATTCAGTACGAAAGTATGATATTTTTACGATTATTTTTTGGAGTCT